CGGCGACTACGGAGACTACGGCGACTATGGGGACTATGGAGACTATGACTATGGCATGATGGGCATGTCGGGCATGGGAATGGGGCGCTACGGCAACGTGCCGTACGGAATGGGGCGGCAGCGGAACAGGGACAGAGCCAACACGATGCCCTGGCACATGAACACGCTGGCGGTAAGTCGGCACCAGATCGCCCCTTAAAATGCCCATTTTTACTCCTGCAATCACAAATTTTGCGTTTTCCTCCCGCGATCGGCCTCGGTGCCAAGTTTTCCTGTTAATCTGTAGAATTCGGGGTTGTTTTTTGGGGAGGGGAAGCACTAATCTGCTTCAGGTTGCTTCCACCACTGAAAAAAAACTAGCTTCTTGCAGGCAGAGCCTGTGTGCGCTTACCTGTTTTTATTTGTGCAAATTTTAGGGCTCTGAAAGCTTCAAATTCGGCTCTGGAGGGTGGTGGGATGAAAAATTGTCAATTCAATGCAATAATAAGCAAGGAGCAAATCCTTGTTTTACCTGGATATGCATCCCTTGGAACCCTCACTGTTTGGGGAGGTGGAGCAGAGGACTGGGATATTCTGCCAAGTCCTTCCCGTACTCGGAGCGGATCAGAGTGCCCGTTTTTTCCTGCTTCTAGCCCAAAAGGAGAGGCTTCCGCAACCGTTCGGGCGGGCGATCGGATAGCGAAGGAGGGCGCAAGCGGAAACAGTCCCAGAGCGGCGACGAGCCCGACAGCAAACAGGCCAAGACCGACAGCGAAGGGGACGACACCGAGAACGGTACGTGCCCCTCTTCACCCTCCAATATTCGTCATTTCTGCGTTTTTATGGTCGTGTTTTATGGTCTGGAACAAAAGGAACCCTCGAGGTGTCAGATTAATGACAGTTTGCAGCGGCGGCTGGCGGGCAAGGAGAAAACAGCGGGCGATTGCATGTCCTTGCTAGGATTCCGTGTCCATTTTTCCAGTCCTTGGGAATTTCCTGGATACCAGCAGGGTCCCTTGTGCTTTTAGGTGGGCGCAAACACTTCCCCCTGGCACTAAAGAGCTTTTTTATTTCTGTGCAGCAGATGAGGGCGAAGGAGAGGAAAAATCGGGAGATGAAGCCGACAAAGGTGTAAGTAACTTTAATTATTATCATTTATGGCAAACACGGGAGTGTTTAAGCACTTTGCTTCCTTGGTGGTGTCCCAAGCTGGATTTCTAAAACGCCCGCGAAGGAAGGTCAATCCAGTGGGAAGTGACAGCAGCGCCCTTTCCTTCTTGTTTTCCAGGAGAAATGGGAATCGTGGCGCTCTTGGCAAAGGAAGGTAGGGCGGCTCCCGCGGCGCGCAGGCCTCCTGTGAACCCGGGTGCTCCGAGCCGGTTTGCTTTTGCCTTTTGGCACCACCTTGAGTTTTTCTTTGCCTTTTTCCTCCTCAAAATACGATGCAGCTCCCGTGAGGCTGTTCACCAGGGCTCCGTTGCGGTGCCTTTTGGGGCTCTTTTGCACCTGGGCTTCTTCACACAGACACTTGGTGCCCGTACGAACGGACGGGGAAAGAGGGAATATTGGCCGTAGTGGCAGTTCATCTTCCTGCCCTGTTCGGAGGAGGTTTTTGGGAAGAGCAGGTCTAGCCATGGGGCAGAAAGGCACCCAAATTGGCCTAACCCGAGTCGCTTTGGCTGGTGACTTCCCAGCATGCCAAACCCTGTGACTTTTTCCCCCAATATATGGGGCTATATCCAATTTTATTGGTTATTTAAAACCTGCCTGGGCTAGAGTAGCTGGAAGCACTTCAGCTCCTTTTGGATTTAATGGAGTTTCGGATGAGACCGTGCCCTGCTCGGCGGCGTTGTGCGCAGAGGGGACGCTGCCCCTCTCGTTTGCTTTTAGGGGCAAAAAACCTTGGCCTGGATGGCGTTGCTCCTGTTCTCTTTCCCCTTTTGGGCCTTTGCTGTAAAGATTCATCCTCTTCTAGGATTTCCCCAACTCTTGAGCTCCCTCGAATCCCCCGTGCCAAACGGAGGAGCTCGGAAAAGCCGACACGGAGCCGGGCGCGCCGAGTTCCTGCTCCGTTTTCAGTTGAGGCCGCGGCAACCCCAGGCCTATTTTGCCTTTACGGAGCGGCTTGGGGGAAGAGCATGTGCTAATTCTCGGGATCGCAACCGAGGTGTAGCTGGATGTTCCGTTTTTGTTGAAGCCTCCCTCTGATAACCAGGTCTTGACCTTCAGTGGAAGTTGTGGTCCCTGCGCTCCTTCACCTGAAGACCTTGCAGGTGAATTATTCCCCGAGCGTGTTTTGCGAGGCCGAGAGACCTCGGACCCCGGTACTCACCGCTTCCTACCCTAAAATATCACAGGGATTAAGGCTGGCTAAATCCCTGCTTTTTTTCCCCTGTAATTATCCCAGCTTTGGGGAAGGCAGCGCAAGGAGAGCTAAAACTCTCCTGAAGAAGCAGAACTGCTGCTCAGGCACTAAAAACATTTGCTGCCTTTTATTACTTAACTTTCCTAAGTAGCTTTTTTCAGCCCCGTGGAAAAAAAAAAGCGGAAAAAGAGGAAGAGAGCACAGGGAGAAATAAAAGCTCCTCCCGAGGAAGCGAAAGAGAGAGGTCTCTCGTGACTGCTCTTTCCATTAACGGCGCGTCTCGATGCTGCCCACCAAGGTTTAAGCTATTGTGGGAACTGGAGGGAGTTGGAGGAAGGTGCTTTGGTGCCGGAGATGCCGCTGCTTAGCGGTGCTCCCGAAGCCGATTCGTGGGAGGGAGGGAAAAGCGGAAGAACTGCCGGAAAACTGGGAGAAGCTTCGGCTTCCCCGAGCCCGGGGGTGAATAGGAAACTCCCAAAATCCCTCGGCCAGCGAAGGACGAGCTGCGAGGCAGCAACTCTGATATTTTGTTTTCCCCAGCCTCCGGAGACGGCTGCGAAGACGACGACGACGAGGTGAAGAAGAAGAGGGAGAAGCAGCGGAGGAGAGACCGGATGCGCGACCGGGCGATGGACAGGTAGGAGGAAGGCCGAGCCCGCTCCCTCGCCTGCTTCCCGCTGCAATATTTGACTGGTCCTTATAATATTTAGCTAGAATATTCCCTTGGTGCAGATGTGGGAGAAGTCTGAAGGGCCGGAGGATGGTGGTTTGGGTCTCTGTGTGCCAATTTGGTCTTTTTTGGGGGGTCTTTTTTCCCCTTTTTGGTGTTTTCTGACCCCTCTGAAACAAGAATAAAAGAGGTTTTCCAGGGAGCTTTGAACTGATCTCTCACTCTGCTGTAGTGTCACCTCCTCTTGTTTAAGCTGTTTAATCCCTGGAGGTTCCAGAGTTATTCCAGAGGCACCAAGTAAAATATATAATCCGAGCAGAACAGCATTGTGAATCTGGAGCTGAAAGGGGGGAAAAAAGTGGTTGGTAGAAAAGTGAATTAAAAATTGAACTCATTCCTGATTTCCCGTACGATGGCTCTGTCCAGGATCCAGTTTGCCTGCTCCGTGTGCAAGTTCCGCAGTTTTGAGGAAGACGAAATCCAGAAGCATCTACAGAGCAAATTCCACAAGGAGACCCTGCGGTACATCGGTACCAAACTCCCGGACAAAACCGTGGAGTTTCTGCAGGTAAACGGGGCTGGTTTCGCCTTCCTGTGCCTTTTTGTGTGCGTCTTTTGAGCCATTTTGGGGTTTTTTTACTCTCAGGAGGGTTCGAGTGCAGCTCGTGTCACTCAGTGACATCGGATAACGGCACGTGCTGTCGAGCAAATAACTATTCCCAAATTGAATCCAAGCAGAAAAGCAGGAATTAATAGTCCGTGGATTTTCTTCCCTGTGCCCAGCTGTGTTGATGATGGGAGAGAGAAGGGCTGGGGCTTTTTCCTTCCCAGATGAGTGTTTGGGTGGGGGAAAGTGCCACCGTTTGAGCACTTTGTGGCACTCCTCAAAAATACGACCCTGCTGGTGCCAAGGATTAAGCTCCCAAAGGCTCCGAGCTCGCTTCCCGCTTGGATCTTTCAGGCTTTTGCTACGGTAGAGAGGACAGGGCCAAAAAACCCCACGTGGATCATCATTAATTAACTAAGCGCAATCATTTTTGTGGGTTTTGGGTGGAGATCTCGTTTCCCTTCTGTGATGTCCCCTCCCTCTCCAGGAATACATCGTCAACAGGAATAAGAAAATCGAGAAGCGGCGTCAGGAGCTCACGGAGAAGGAGGGTCCGAAGCAGAAGCCGGATCCGTTTAAGGGTAAGGAGCCGGCGACCGCGCTAAAAAACAGGGAAAATGCGGAAGGGAGCTCTGTGCTGCAAGGAACAGGCAGGTAACTGCAGAATTACCCGTTGACCTTGACCTACAAAGAGGATGTTCAGTTCAGCTGCGTCCCAGGGCATCTCCTGGTGGTAACAGCAGCTTTTGGAAGCGCTGGGGTTGATCCATACGGGCTTGGGCGGGAAGAGGGATGAGGAAAAATCTCCTTCAGCTTGGTCAAAGCACCAGTCTCCTCCATTCCGCACCCCTCAGCGATGGAAGGACGTTTGGACCACGTCTGGGAGGTCCTGTCTTAATAAGGGTAGTTAATTAAGCCAATCATCACTCCAAAATGAGCACTTGGGCTTTTAGGTGGGGGATATGAGCCCAGGTGGAAAAAAGGAGCTCAATCCTGAACCCAAGGGGTCCCCAAACTGTTTTTGAAATCCATGACCTTTTAAATTGGATAAGGACAGGCTGGTTTCAACAGGGCCAAAGGAAAACGGGGGTCAGTCCCCACTTCTGCCTCGGAAAAGCCGATTTCTTCGGAGCGTGGGCTCCTCTTCAGCCCCTCTCCCTTCGTGCTGCCTTAAGAGCAGAATTGCCCATTTATCTGCTCTTAAAATAAGATAATGGGGTTTTGCCCGCAAGGGGAAGGGAGGAACGCGGGCGCTGGCGGAGCGCCAGCGACGGAGGGAGTTTTGGGTGCGGAACGGGGCCGGAATGGGCGCTCAGCCCTCGCGTTTGCCGCAGGGATCGGCCAGGAGCACTTCTTCAAGAAGATCGAGGCCGCGCACTGCATGGCCTGCGACATGCTCATCCCTGCGCAGACCCACCTGCTGCAGCGGCACCTGCGATCGGCCGACCACAACCGGAACCGCAGGGTAAGCGCCGCCACGGGCTCCCCTTCCCGACCGGAGCGTGGAATCCCGAGGGCCTCGGGAAGGGGGGAACAGCAGCAGCAGCGGGAGAAGCCCACGAGGGTTGTCCTGTCTTGTCCCCATCCATGCTGGGGACAGGGCGAGCTCCGTTTGGGGCAGAAACAAGCAATTTCTGCAGCGTAGCCTCCATCTCCGCTGTCGTGGAGCGTGTTGACCCATGCCTTGCCCTTGGAATAGCGCTCCTGGACACTGGATCCAATGAGGATCGCTGGATATTGGGGCAACGTTCCCACTGATGCTGCTAAAACCCATTTTTTCCCCCAGGGGACAAAACGCTGGTGCCCCTTGCCATTCACATCCTACTTAGGAAAACCGCCTAGAGGGGGAAATGGGAGGGAATAGAGCCAAATCCCGGTGGGAATTCCTCCTCCTCCAGCCTATCCCGCTAACCCCCGTGTCGCTCCGCTTCCAGATGGCCGCCGAGCAGTTCAAGAAGACGAGTCTGCACGTGGCCAAGAGCGTCCTCAACAACAAGCACATTGTCAAAATGCTGGAGAAGTACCTCAAGGTGAGCGAGCGGCGGCGCCGGGAAGCGCCGGAGCGCCCGGAACGCGGCCGCGGGATGAGATCTCGGCTCTGGATCCTTCGCAGCTCCAGGCGGTTTAGCAGCTTCTCGCCTTGCTCCGTTACGAAACCGTCCAAACGGGGACGGGATTTAACATGAAAAAAGGGGCCAAAGTAGCCCAAA